TTTACGGTAGCCCTAAACACTTGGTAGTTTAGACAAATGTTTTTATTGGAATGAAAGGAATCCTAAATATTTGCATAAAAAATTGTAAATAAGTGCTTCCTTATCGACACTGAAAAGTCCCATTATTTTTGCAAAATGGTTGATTATATTGGCACTAATTTCTAAAAATCCAAGATGCTTTGAAATGTAGGCCTACTTCAAAAAGAATAAATCTAATATAAAAAGAAGGATCAGAGAGATAATGTGTTTTCCAAGACCCATCCGCAATGACTTTGGTCCCCTTCACAGGTTCTGTGCCTCTGACATGGGAGACCATCACTAAGTTTAAACTTCTCTCGCCTTTTTTCCTCTGTCCTAAAGAAGTCATGAATATTCAAAATGCAACCTTCCTGGAAAACTCTGGAATTTCTAAATACAAACATGTAAATGCAAGCGCGAAGAAACCCTCAAAGATCTAGTCTCCTTTCCCATAAAGGTACGCTGTCTCTTATGTTTAGACGAGCTATAAGTTCAGCAAACATCCCATCAAATACCATGTATATGCAATTTGTATTTAAAGGTAAGATCTAATTGTCAAATAGGTATACAGCAATGAAAGAGATGTATGAAAATTAGGTGACATTACACACAGACAGAGCTACACAGAAGTAAGAAAGACCTTGAGTGTAGAAACTGCTAGACTTAAATGACTTTAAAGAGGATCAGAGCACACTCCCATACGTCGCCCCTTCCCCCTTGTTCCCCCCACCTCCCACCAAGAGAAGCCTGATTCTGCAGCAAGCCCACAGATCCAGTGTTTGTGGAAATGTCCTCTTTGTAGGCATTCTGAAATTCCAACAAAAACGCCTGAGAAAGGTCATTTCCCATATCCTTCTCTTAGCATCATGTCATCAAATGGGGTAACACAACCCGAGGGTTAAAGTAGAACAGGAAAGTCTAATGTTTTGTTCCGGTCACTTGTCTGAGGTTTGGCTTGCAACTCAAGGCCATCCTCATGACTCAGCCTTCAAGCGCTGAGATTACAGGCAGAAGCTACCTGTACGATGGCATTGTAAAGAACGATGGCATTGTAAAGAAAGCTTAGCTGAACAGAAACGCGTGCTCTGCCTCTGACCAGCAACCAAATTCTATGGGATCAGATGGCAAATGGCTTATTTATTTATTTATGAAAGTATAAAGAACCTTAAGGAGAGTCCTCTAAATTCATCTCCAAATAATGGTGCATCACCACTGTATAGTGTATAATGCCCTTAATGTCCACATCCTTAAATGGAACTTTTCCTTACCACTCATAGTGCAGTATCAAACACTACAACATGCCAAGTCAGTTCTGGCCTGGATCCCCCTTCCTTAGCCATGCAGGCGGAAAACCCAATGTCTGAGATTCTCCAGTAAAATACTATCTTGAGCCTCTGCCAGAAATTAAATGCCCATGAACTGGGTGGCCACAGTAATGCCTGTTTCTGAGTGTTGTGGTCTAGTGAGGAGATCTGCCTGTTTCTGAACATAAGCTCGTAGATATCTGATAGGCCCTATGAAAGGTAAAGCGTCATTATGAATGTTTTTTTCTTAAGAAAGTCACTGCCCGATCCAAAGAATATCTTAAAACTCAAAACCAGACCAAAGAGGATTCCATGTTCTTGTGTTTCTCCCCTGACAACATCAGATCCTATTCACTTCAGAACTAAAATAATTAAAAAAAAAAAAAAAAAAAAAAAAAAGCCTTCAGCAGGGCGGGTCAAGATAGCACGTGCCATTCAGCAACCCGCGCCGACTCGTCACTACTCCCTTTACCCAAAAGCTTTTCACGCAAATGTCCAGCCAGACAAAAGCCTGTTTGCCTACTGCTTTTGTGTGCTATAGCAGGAAGCAGTTGTCAGCCACAGACAGCTGCGTTAGTGAAAAATAATAACCGCAGACGCCGAGACACGCGCCACAATGTTCCTGCGGAAATCAAACTCTGAGAAATTTTTTAAATGTTTTCAACACATCAGCGTGAAGCATCGACCTAGTTGGAATCACTTAGATCTGAAGCAAATGCGCTGATTGTTTTCACAGCAGGCTTTTCTTCTCAGACGCAGAGCAAGAGCAGGCGCTGGCGCGAGGGCTGCTTGGAAGGGTTTTCAGCCCCCTGCCTCTGGAGGCTGTCGCCTGTGACAGGATCAATACCAGGGTGAGCAGCACAGGAAGCTGACGGAAGATTATGAAGATGAGGTGAGCTGTGGAATTACCCTACAGGCTCTGCTCTTTCCCTGACCTCGAATCTCATCAGCCTCGGACATAGATGGAACACCATCAGGACAGAGACTGAAAAGGAGGACGGGCCGAGTGGTGTGAGGCAGCGTCCGTGCAGAGCCTGGCTGTCGGGTGGCTGCGTGTTGTGGTCTCAGAAAAGGGCAAGCTCTGTGACAAGGTGAGGTAGCATCGTGACCAGCAGGAAGGCTTTCATGCCCCGCCAGCAAAGCAAGTGTGCAGTAATTGGTAACACCTTCTTTGGTAGGTTTTCATTACAGTGAGGACGATTCCTCTTCTACTTTTGGACCCAGACAAGTAGCATTTCTGTAAGTAATCTGCACAAAGTACCATGGAGAGGCGGATATGCACCCTGAAGGCCCATCATCTGTCTGATGGGCTCTTCCTGGCCCCATACTACACAGCTCAATACTCCTTCAAGCAGAGCCCCAGTTTATCCCCTGAGCATCCTGAATCTCAGCTGGAGCAGTGGATCAGGAGATGCCATTCTCATTCCAAGTGACCAGTACACACACTTGAAGGAACCTCTTATTCCTATTAGTCTGCACTGTTCCGGCTAACTGAGCGTACGGAGATGTGTCTCATAATCAATGAGTGGTGTCCGGTTCAAACTAAAATAGCTACACAACCTAACAGTGGAACATAAAGCCCGAGACTTCTCTGGATTTCTCTAAAGACTGTACAACATACAATCACAATATATAAGAGGCATCCAAGAAATTCAAGGTTATTTTTAAATCTGTTTGCATAAGTCCTTGGATGAGCAAAGAAGAGAGTGTAAGTTAGTCCTTGTAGGTATTAAATGGACTATTATCTACAATCCCTCAAATCTGGAAATTGCCACCACCACCAAGGCTAGCTATTTATTTCTACACACACACACACACACACACACACACTCACACACACTCACACACACACTTTTTAAAGTTGTATTTATTATTTTTAATGTGTGTATAGGATTGTGTGTGTATAGGTGTATGTGTGTATATAGGTGTGTGTGTGTGTGTGTGTGTGTGTGTGTGTGTGTGTGTGTTGTATGCTTGTATGTACTTCTTTTGTTCTTGGTGCCTGTGGAGGCCAGAAGAGGGTGCCAAATCTCATGGAGCTGCAATTCAAGATATTGTGAGTTGCCATGTGGGTTTTTGGAATCAAACTTGACCTCTGCAAAAACAAGTGTTTTTAACAAGTGAACCATCTCTCTAGCCCCATATACATATATTATTTGCATTACTAGTACCTTACTAGATAAAGCAAGTTTCTTGTTTGGGCTAACATACATTAGATCACCAAAATACACTCAGCTCATTCAGTTTCTTCAGAAACTATTTTAATGCCTTTTAAATTACGGATTGACTTTATATGTTTCATTAGCCCATGCTGAAGATATCAGATGTCTGGTTTTTTGTGTGAACATCAAATGAAAAGTCTTTTTCCAGCTCTGACTATTTTTCTAAAAGCAGAATTACTAGATCAAAAGCTGAAATAAATATTTTTCTGTGGCGTTTTTAAAAGAACTATTTTTATTACAGAAATTTTATATTTTTAAAAAGAAAATTTTCTCAAAAAATCCCTCACAGGTCTGAGATTAATATTGCTATGTGCTCTTGGTGGCCTTTTGTGAACCACATAAAAATATAGATATGCTTCTTATATATAAAACCGAACCATAAAGTGCATAGTGGGGTATAACCTGCTTTTTCCAGTTAGTAAATGATTGAGATTCATGTTGTCTTCCAAATTCAGAAACAGGGCTAACAAAGCTGTGCTGGTTTCCACGAGCGCCCTTACATGGATTTTATTCTGCAGGATTCCCATCAGTTCGTTGACTTCTCTACCGCGCTCTTCCCAGTGTCTGGTGTCCATGTCTCATCCATAATGAGAACTTCCTAAGTGTATGCTGAGGACCTTTTGGTAGGAGGAGAAGGAATCGTATGGTGGTGTCGGGGGTGCACATGAGAAAATACTCAAAACACTTGCCTGATGAGAAAAATAACTTGCAATACTTCACAGAAAGATCAGCTCAATAATTTACCAAAGCAACAAACAAGGAATGTTTCTCTCTAATAACTATGAATCACAGACCTCAAGGCAAAATCAGCACTTTGTTATAAAGCTAGTTTCTTAGTGCATATATATATATATATATATATATATATATATATATATATCTTTGTATAATCTAGATATTAACCCTCTGCCAGTTAGATACCTGGTAAAGCTTTCCCCCTTTTCCTTAGCTTGCATCTTCACTCAAATAGTCCTGTACTTTGCTGGAGAGAGCTTTAGAGTATCCTGAGGTCCCTTTCATTAACTGCTGGCCCCAAAGCCAGTGCTACCAGAGCCTTGTTCAGAAAGTCCTTTCCTGCACCATGAGTTCAAGTGGACTCCTGCTTTCTCCCTTACCAGATTCAAGGTATCAGGTCTCATGGTCTTTGATCACTTTAAAGTTTTGTGTTGGGTGAAAGATAAGGATCTAATAATTAATTAGTTAATTGGTTAATTCCTCTACATGTAGCTCCCTAGTTTGACCATTGCCATTTGTTGAAAATCTTGTTTTTTCTCAATGCATACTTTTTCCCCTGAGTATCACAAGTTTATTTAGCAAAAAGTTTCATATGAAAATGTACATGATCCAATTCTACACCACAGTCAAACAGGTCCTTTGGGGAGGGATGTGGACTTCTCTGCTGAAAAGTCTTTGTTCAGATTCTTTCCAAGGCTAACGACAAGCTGATGCTGTTTCCTCATACGACCACGATTCTGGAGTTATTCTGTTGCCCACGAGTTACCATCTCCACATACTCATCAATCACAGTATGCATAAAGGAATTCAAGTCCTGAAGTAGTCCTTGTACATGTCTGTCACCATCTGACTGCAATGATAACTTCTTGTCCATAAATTCCTTCAGTTGGGGAGGATGGGTCTTGCTCATGGGGACTTCTCAGCAGAATCGGCACAACCTCAATGTATATTATTAAATATTTTGTCAAAATTCAGTGGCTAGAGGAGTGTTGATTTATGTGTGCAGTTCTATTGCAATGATTAACTTTTCTGTTTTTATGCCAGTGCCATGCTGACTTTATTACTATATATTACTATATTCTGTAGTGTGACTCAAAGTCTGGGATGTTGATCCTTCCAACAATTTTTGTTATTGTTGTTTTTATTTTAGTTTGTTCACTTTTTCTTTTTCTTTTGTTTTAATGTATTCATTTATTTTACATCCTGACTGCCGCTTCCCCTCCCTCCTCTCCTCCAAGCCCACACACCTCCCCTCTGATCCCCATATTCACTCCTCCTCCATTTCTGTTCAAAAAAAGAGCAGGCCTCCCATGGATATCAACAAAACATGGCATATCACATTGCAGGAAGACTAAGCACCTTTCTTTGTATTAAGGATGGTCAAAGTAACCCAATATGAGAAGTAGGGTACCAAAAGCCAACAAAAGAGTAAAAGATGGCCCCTGCTCCCACTGTCAGGAGTCCCACAAGAAAAAGAAGTTACACAACTGTAACAAACATGCAGAGGGCCTAGATAAATTTGATGTAGGCTCCCTGGTTGTCAGTTCAGTCTCCGTGAGCCTCCAAGAGCCCAGGTTACTTGATTCTGTGGGTTTTCTTTTGATGTCCTTGACCTCTCTGGCATCTACAATCCAACCTCCCTCTCTCTTCATCACTACCATTACTACCGTCAAGACCATCATCAAGGCCATCATCATCACAATATCAGCAACCACACCATCATTAGCAGCATAACCATCCTTACAACCATTACAGATCCTCAACATTACTACCACCACCATTACTACCATCACCATCATTACCACCATTACGACTACCACCACTATCATTACCACCATCACCACTATCACCACCTTACTCATCTCATCATTTCTATCAAATCATCATCATGTTCTCTACCATTGCTATCATCATCGCCACAGTCAGGTCCAAAGGGTACCCCATTGCCCCCTAAAAGGGCAAGCCCCACTGACTTGATCCAAAATTAAATCTAGGCTCAGCTCAAGCTGGACTATAGGAGGATTTTTGGTAGTTAGATAAAATCCAGTAGTCCTCAGGAATGTTCAAAATGGTTCCTTCCCTTCCTTCCAAAAGGAAGTCCCTTCCCTTGCCTCTGGCTGAAAGGACATATGTGGTTCTTCATTGACATAGACCTTGCAGCTATCAACATATTGAAGTCCTGCTGGCCTCCAGGCTCCTTGGTCTTTTCTCACAAACAACTGTTATACATTCCAAAGTCTACACTAGGATCCTGGTCCCTCTCATCTCTGCCTCTAGTTTAAATTCCCAGGCTATTTTAGTTCACAGGCTTTATGCCTCCACAGATAACTTTTCTCTAAAACCTCAAGATTATTTCCACCCCCTCCCAACACCATTAGCTTCTCTGTGCTTTCCATTTTGGTGGTTACTTCTCTGTGTTCTTGAATTGTGAATTAACAGCTTCATTGTTAATTAGTATTCTTTTTCTATACCTGAGGCTGGATTATAGTAAATAAAACAGATTTATTTAGTATATAGTTTTGTGCACAGGCAGACAAATTTATGGAAGCCTTGCCCATTTGACCTTTGGAGTTGCAGAATATTTGAGCATACTGTGAACCCTGAGATTGCCTGATTGTAGCTGTGATGTGACTCAGTCCTAGCATATACCTTTAATCCAAGAGCTTTCTGCTTGGATGATGTAAACAGAATTAAATAAAAATCAACCTTAGGTCAAGCAGCAGAGCAAGCAATCAGTTGACAGGAAATAAGCATAGAGAGATAGAGAGTGAGAGGGAGTCAAAACTAAAGAGAGAGAGGGAGGAAGAGAGGGAGGAAGGGAGGGAAGAAGGGAGGGAGGGAGGGAACCACAGGAAGTAGAAGAGAGTGATATCTAGTTGGAGGAGGTTTTTTTGAGAAGGGTAGGAGAAAACCCTCTTTCTGGGACAATGGGGGAGGAGGAAGCAATTGGGTGCTTTCTTTGCCTCCCTAGGCTAGTATGCTTTTCTCACTACCTGGCTCCTGAGTCTTTATTGATAAAAATAGAAAGATAGAGAGTTAAAAACCAACACTGGCAAAGATCTCATGGTACATGGCATTTTGATGAGGGGTATATATACAGGGGTAAAATCATATAAGAAAATAAGAAATAGGAAGGTGGGAGGAGTCAGCTTTGCTATTGTATTATAACCAACTCTCAAGAGAACCAACAATGCTCTCACAATTACTACATTACTTCATTAATCCCTCCGAGAGACACCCAATGACCTAACATTTTACTCTAAGCTACAACTTAAATGCTCTCCTGCTTTTGAACATCACAGTACTGAGGACCAAGCTTTCAACTCATGAATCCTGGATGAGCAGATTTAAATTTTATCCAGACAATGTAGTAAGTTTAAATTCAGCTCACTGTTACAGCTCTAGTTGGCAGCAAGAACCTGGGAGAGTAAAACTTAAAAACAAGGTGGACTAAAGTCTCATGCTATAGCCAACTTTATTCAGAGCATCAGACAATTTATATTCGAAAGTTAAGCAAGGTCATATGCATTTAGGTTATATACAGTCACAAAGCCAACCTGTACTTGGAAACTTTTTGCATAGTAAAAGTGAGTAGCGATGTATAATCTAAAGCAAATCCACTGTTAGGTACTATACCTCAGAAGGGCACCAAAGCACATTACGAGAATGAACCCATGTTTTGGTGGAACAGAGGTGACAAGACTTTGTCTTGTTTCCTTGGAATGATTTCACAAGCTCTCAGATTTCTCCTTGCATAGCTTCATTCTTGGATCATGTTCTGAGAATTCACTATCTTAGTAATATTTTTTATCTGTTTTTTGGTATTTATCACAATTTGGAATTTTTCTTTGTAACTTGCATACAAACTTATACTGTAAACTAGGTGAGGAATTAAAAACTCTCTTGGCTATCAGTCCACCCCTGGTGTGCTATGTACTGGCTAGGCAACAGTAGGTCACCATTCAATAAAAGCTACAACAATAATGGATATATCCCTGTTATCAACTCTAACTCCAAACAGAGAAAACATCTAAATTACCTGTGGTGATAACTATTCTTCTATATAATTTGTCACAGTTTGGGAATCTTTTGCTTTGATATCCATATAAAGACTGTTTAAACCTTTGTACACATATAGGTCTTAAGGAGAACCAATAAAGAGAGTGATCTAGGTAATGTGAGTCAGAAGTGGGAAAAAAAACCTGTCTATTCAAAAACATTTTTTCTTATGTCAAAGATGAAATTAAGCTACTTGAATTAGCTTTTAAGGGTAATCCAGAATAATATCACAAAATCCACCTTAAAATATAAATGCAAGATGACAGTTCACATATGAATTCATCTACAGACTGAAAAAAGAGTGCTGGACAGGGGCATTTCGGTTTGCCAAAGACTGATCCGTTAGAAGACAGAAGGAAAAGGAAAGTCGGCATTGTCCATGAGGAGAAATCAGTCGCTGCCCAGGGAACATGAAACAGGAACAGGAAGATCTATATCCTTCACCCCAATACCTTCTGGAGACTCTGCAATCAAAACTTCAGACAATTTTTATTCTGTTTCAGTAAGCATGTTTGAATGCACCAATTTAGAAATTACGGGGAGAAAGAGAAACAGGCCAAAAATGTTCATTCTTCAGTCCAGGACTGAAAATGATAAGAAAATGCTAAGAAGAAGCTGGGGGATTGGGGGCAGTTAGGGTGGGGTATATGGAAGAGATAAAGACAGCATCTGGAGAGAGACCACAGTGGGGACGTGAACAGTTTAATGCTGATCACTGATGGAGAATCAACACGGGCAAAGCGCTGTTCTTGCTTCACCGGACAGTTCAGGTGATCACCAGTAAGTCATCATTTAACAACAAGGGGCTCTCAATCTAGAAAGGGATAGACACTTAAAGGATTTCCCCAAGAGACTTTATCAGAAAGCGTCAAGTAGCAGAGAAATACCTGCTGGCTTAAGGCCAATCTTTTTAACCAGTGTGCTTAACCGGCATCCTCAAAGTGTGCTGGCTGAAACTGGAGGAAGAGAGGCACTTGGCTCCACTTCATTGCCCCCACCTGTCCCCTCACTCAGCTACCAGGAGCTTTCCTTGACTTTCATTCACCAATTAAAATATAAGAACTAAACATCTTTATACCTTCCTCGCTTTTCAGAACTCTGGTTAAAGAATCTTTCCATTAAGAAGAATAAAGGGCAAGTTCTAGTTTACTAAGAGTTATAGTGAAGTTGGAGAAATGAAGAGCCGACGCGTCTTCCTGGCCTGGCTGCACTGGACAAGGCGAGAAAATGTGGTCAACGGTGTTGTTCCTACATCTCACATGGCCAGACTGACTCAAATGGACTTCCCTTCTTGGAATTGGCATAGCAGAATCACTTCAACAAAGCAAAGCTGATACCAAACTATTGTTTAGAAATATTGCTATCACAGAATTACTAAGAAAAAAAACCCATTCAAGTCCAGAACTGTCATATAATAAGCACACAAACTTGGAACTGGATGTATTGACCAAACCTGAGGAGGAAGTTAAGCGTGTAAAGGCAGTGGGTACAGTGTCACCTCCGAATAGACCAGAAGGGCTAGTGCTTATTTGGGGTATAAAAAAAAAAAAGCCATGATTCCCACAGCAACAGTAACTTAACTGGTTGAACATATAGTATATTATGACATGAAAGTTGACACCACACACAAAAATACTAAATACTACACATGCCTGAAGGGTTCTCATTATTACCACTGTGGGAGTTATAAGTTCAGCGTGGCGATAGAAAGGGAGTCAGAACCAGCTGAACAACCTTGGATCAGGCCTTTATGGAAGCCCTGTGTGCCCATGTACTTCACAAATCTTTATTGAGTGTCTAGTATGTGTAAAGTGTTGTACTAGAAGCTGTGCAACAATATGGGGCCTGCCT